AAGCATAAGCTCTCAGGGATGGAATGGGGGAGGTAACTGAGGTGAGTCGCGCCGCTCACTGCCCTCTGGACAGTGGCCTCGCCTGCACTTATCGTAATTTTATGCACAGACCGCAGACGTCTGTTCAGCCCATCCCCCTTTGCCATCCGCCGCCCCTGGCCGCGGTAAGCTCACCTCTCACCCCTGGCCGGCCAGCCAATTGCTCGCGCCGTCTCCGACTGCATTTTTTTGCACTGGACCCCTTCGGACTCTGAGATTGTCTCGTCAAAAATTGATAGGCTCCTTGCAGACGTGCCCCGATGGTTGTCCGCACAGTGGGTGTGTTCTATAAGCTAGGGAAATTCGATATATTCATTACAGAAGTAGGTTGCATCCTAGGGTTTAAACAGTAACACTGCTACCCATAAGCCTTGGTCCTTCGAGCCGGATTAACAAAAATTGTCTGAAGAGTATATACAATGGTCATTAAATGTATTTAAAAAGGAAATATAGATTTTAATATAATTTTAATTTTTTTATATTTGAAGAATAATTAACGCAGTTTACTGGAGTTAAAAATTAATTTTTAATTTAATTTTCTAACCCTTGACAGCCACTGTGCTTAATTTCCTTGTGTTCGCGGAGACGCTGAAACTTTGTGGAAAAAAGCGCGCTTAAAACAAGCTGCAAGTCCCCAATACCAGTCCACAGTCCCAGTTCCAGTCCAGGTCCCTGAACCAGACCCAGACTCAGACCCAGGCTATATCTCAGGTCCAGCTGCAAGACCAAGTCCAGCAGACGTCTGACTGTAATTATGGCCATGTCAAATATGGGCGACGTTGACGCAGCAGCAGCAGCATCAGCGAATGTTGCACCAGAGATGCAAGTGGATTTCGACCAACAGCGGCCCCTCGAAGGATGCTCATTCTCGAGGAGGCCAGTTGATTGATGTGCTTTGGCTGCTGGAGAGTGCTGAAAAAGTCTTGGGGCAGCGCCTGCGATCTGCCCCGAGTTCGAATTTAAGTTCGTGGCCGTGTCTGATCTGCCAGGGGTCCGAGTCGGAGTCTCAATCTGCATCGGAGTCTGGGTAGCTGCTGCCCCATATGGAGCACATGTTGCCTATGCCGAACCTGCGGTTGCTGTTGCTTTAAGGACTTCGTTACCCTTTATCATAGGCAAAAGGAGGGTATATTGCCTAGAAATTGATACTTGAAAAGGGAAACTAGTTGGAAAACTAATATGTTCTCAAAAGGTGGTAATTGTTGTCTATAAATTTATTAAATAAATGATCAATTACTGTATTTGTTAAAGGAATGCTTTTTATTCTCAAGAGTTAATATTAATCAATTAAGCATTTAAAAAAAAACAAATTAACTCGAAACTAGACCCTAAAAATTGAATAATTATATAGACTGCCAGGTAAAAGGTATCTCTAGTCCTTCATATCAACTTGATCATCTTAATACTATTTTTTGTTGACTGCAATTTTAGTTTGTGTTTGCCTGGACATTGCCTTGATTAAATCACTTTTCAGCCACTGACAGTTAATCAAGGCGTAGGGCCAAGTGAGGCTGCGAGGAACGCACTTTCAAGGTGCACCGTGTGGTGTTCGCTTCAGTCGTGACTTGCCCCTCTCTCTCTCTCTTCTGGTGTCTGTATCTCTCTTTCTCTCTCTTATTTGCCACCGTCTGGCCTGTGGCCTTTCACTCGCACCGACTGGTTGTCCGGACAACCGTCGCCGCCATGCAACTTCCGCCTGCTCCAATTGTTTGCGCATACAAAGAAAGCGTCGTGGCATCGCTGCATCACTGAGTGAGTGTGTGCAGATACACTGAAAGAAGAGGAATATTAATTTTTTATATAAAATGAAATAACATAAATATATTTTGAAATTTGATATAAACCTTAAACTAACTTGAGCTTTAGTGGACTTAGAAGACAAGTCCAGCAGGTTGATGGTTTCATCAGAAAACTTCGCTACAGATGAGACATATTCGAGGTTAAGTGCCCCGGAATTCAGACTTGAGAATTTTAGGGCACTTTAATGCAGAAATATTTGATATTTGTGAATATGAAACATCAAACTGAGCTTAAGGCTTTCTTAACAATAACTAAACTTTTTTAAGAACATTTTTTGAAATATTTATAAAAAATATATTAAGCATCATAATTTTTCTACTATATATTTTCCTCCTGAGTGCGAGTCGTGTGTATATGTTGGATATAATCCAAACAAACATATTGTTTTGTCTGCCACGGTCTGCAGTTCTACCCTCCTCCTGACCCCCTCTGTGTCTCCGGTTAACTGCCCTTCACTCCCCCTTTTGGCAGACCCCTTCGCGACCCCGTCTGTGTTCGAAATCCCCTCACCGCGCCCCTGTCTGTGTGTCGATTGTGTTGGGCTGCAACAAAGCAGCGTCGTCGTCGTCGTCGTCATCATCGTCTGAAGTGCATCGCAGGAGAGGTAGGAGCAGCAGAAGCAACAGCAACACCACCAAAAACAACAACAAGCGAAGCAACAGCAAAGCTCAGCATGCAATTTTTTTGTTTGTCGCTGCAATGCACTTGGTTTTTTCCCCCTTTTTTCGTTTCTTTTTCGATTTTTCGTTTCTCATTTTTTGTATTCTCCTGTTCTTACTCCTTTTATGCATTTTTTGTTTTGTACCCCTGCCCTGCAATCCCAGACAGTGTCCAGAAAAGATCGGGGCTATGGGCTTATTGACAAGAAGGGTTAATGCCTTTTGAGGCATTTCGATGTTGCATCAGCCAGCTTAGTGTCACACAAGAACAGGCCACTAACTATAGGTTTAAAATCCATAATGTGTTAATTATATTTAAGGGATATACCAAGGCTATCTTTATGATTTTTAAGATAATACCTATATTTGTATTTCAAAAACAAAGTAGAAAATAATTTGAAGAAAACCGATTCAATTCTTAGCGTAACTTAAAGGTAAATAGACCAAATATAAAAGAAATAAAAAGTGTACATCTTAAAGAACAAATAATATAAAATATAAACAACCCATCAAACCCATTTCAGTTGATTTAGTCTAGCCCTATAAATCACATGTTTTTTTTTAATATTTCAATATTTCCTATTGTATTCAGCAACATTAATTATTCCCTTTCTATGTGTATACTTTCTCCTAAGCTTTTTATGTCTCATTTGCCCGAGAAAATCTGTTCCTCCTTCGTCACCATCGGGCTCTTCTTCATTAAACTTTGCAACAAAAGCACTTTTGTGTCAGTGAGTCCGGGGTCCACCGGAGCTATTCTCCTGCTCCAACTTAGACTCCGACTCCGTCTCCGGCTCCGTCTCCGGCTCTGGTTCTGGCGCTGCTCCATTTTGAAGTTGTCTGCGTCTCAGACACCGGCGACAACAACAGCGAGAATATCAGCGACAGCAACAACGTGGTGCAGCCTTTTAGTTTAAGTTGTAGTCGTCTGGCCCCGGCCGGAATTACACTGTGAGAAAAGCACCATAAAATATACAAATATTTGCTGAGAAAATAGGGAGTGAAAAGGTTACAAAAATGTGGTTTTTAATATGAAATTTAAATAAACAGCCTTCTTTAAGCTTCGTAAATATTGTTTTTAAAATTGAAACAAGCCCAAGGACCTCTTAACTACTTCAATAATTTCAGACTTTAATAAAAAATTAATCTTATATTTTTAAATATATTTTAGTTAGGTCTTCCATGTCTAAATAGAACTATCTTCTTGTTTTCTGTGCAAAATCCAAATCGCAGAATGGGACAACGAGAGTCTGGGTCTCTAACTGCGGCTTAAGTAGGTTGACTGGCGGCTGACTAACCACCCCGTGTGTTCGGCCCTGCAACCACCCACAGGGACACTGAGACACCGAGACACTGAAACACCCACCGAACGCCCCGTTTTGGCCCTGTGATGTGGCCTCTTCTCTCGCCTTTAGTGCCTTCTGCTTTGTTATTCATATTATCCGGCAAATATTTGTCGTTGTCATACGAAAAATGTCTACAGAATGAACGAAAAAACACATGCACGACGGGGCGAGACAAGAAAAAGGGTTGCTTTTGGCGTCGAACGGGGACTACCCTCGGATTCGGATACAGATTGAGCCTCAGTTCCTCACTAATGGCCGCAATTGTGGGCTCAGCAGCCAGTTCCCGACCCAAATTGTCTGCAACAATTGCATGCACTGATTTATCCCTCGGAGCAGCGTGCTCCCTCCCCTCTTCCAATAATATCTTAATAGATTCTTTTGCCCGGCTTCGACTTCTTGGGTTCATTTGAATGCGAATTCAGTGAGACCTTCGGAGGATTGCCACGATTGTCTGTCTGTCTGTCAGCCTGTCTGTCATTCCATCAATGTCGCTGCGGCAAAGGTGTTTTCCGGAAACCTTTCTTCGCCTGACTTCTTAGCATTTTGTTCTCGTTCCTGCTGTCTCCGCCTTGTGCAATTTGTATAATGAGAATTTGCCACAAAACTCTTTTGACTTTCAGCACCTCATTGTGCCCGGCTGACTCTGGGACTTCTGGATTTTATGGACAAGGGTGCGGGCTTCTCTGGTCATTTACGCGGCATGTTGCCAGTTGCCTTTCGGGTTATGAATTTGTGACATTAAATGCAGATTTCTATTACGCCTTTATGGGGCTCGTGGGGTTCTTTAGGAAAGTATTTTTCAAGTTTTCACTTTCTACATTCTATAGAAAGAACTAAGATGAAATAAAGGAATTTATTTATTTATTCTATGAACATATTTTAAAATATTTTTCCTTAAGCTTGATAGTTTCTTCAATTAGAGCTGCTTTTCTGATGCAGAATATGCGTTCTAAATATGTTTTTTTATATTATTTTTCAATCTCGGAAAATGTTTTTGGTATAAAATCCCCTCGTTAGCTAAACGTAGTTCATTGTTTGTTTATTTACAGAAATTAGTTCCATCTGAACGACGCCTCATTATGTATTCCATTTCAATAATATGAAAACATAATTATAAAACGTACAGGTATTGCTCTTCATTTCACTTGCAATAATCATGGTAAAAACACTACCACTAGTCGGTTTCCTAACTGTTTTACTCACCTGGAAATCAAGTGTAAGTGGTCATTATTTAGTGAATCTGTGAGATGATTCCATGTTTTACCAGGATTCTACCACCTATAGGCTGACTAATGTAGTTTGCGACAGCTATAACAAATCGTGGGTGCGGATTAACGAGTGTCGTTTGAAGGCTATCAATCGAAATAGGGTTATTTTCAACTTTAATGGCACCTTTGTCAATCCCACGAATAGCATTACGATGCACAGTCGAATGTTCAAAAGGGAAAGTGGATATAAGCCATGGCTCATAGACACCAAGATCAATAGTTGCCAGTTTATGATAAAGCCCTATAATCCCTTCGCTCTATTTGTTTATAAATTGTACAAGGACTTTTCCAACATAAATCACACTTGTCCATTCTACGTGAGTACTGCCTAAAAAGTAAACTTAAGTTTTGTATTTATTTATGTTTATTCATTAAAGGGGGATATGATTATAAAGGTAATGTATCTAAGGCCACAAATAGAGGCCCTGCCGTTTCCCTCTGGTGATTATTTGCTGGCCATCGAATGGCTCTTTTATCGAAGGCCGCAATTTTCAACTAACGTTAGTTTTCAGTTTGTGAAAAATCTGATATGATATCTTGTCAAAACATAGTTTTGTAATTACAATTCAATTTCTCATTTGAGTAATTTTTATAATAATAAAACAGAAAGTATTACATCATTTCCACTCTAAAAACCATGGAGATCCCACTGCGACTGCTAAGCGTGTTGTGGGATTTACTAACCTGAAGAAGAGTGAGTTATAAGTTTAGTAATATTCTAAGAATCCCTGAATATCATATAAATGATCAGAACTCCTCTAGCTATAAGTGGTTCAATTTTAATTTTACAAGTATTTTCCTAACTTAAATTACACTTGAATATTTATCATCAATATATATATATAAAATTTATCTATACTTAAATGTTTAACTATCTAAAAAGGAAGATAAATATAAACGGAATGTTTTTAATGTGTAGAATAGAAGCCGTGCGGCGAATGGTAATTCATGAAGAATCTGATATGACTTTCAAAAAATGCTGTTATTAAAAAGTAAGGATAGGATAGTTAATTATAATTAAATTTCAAAAGATTGTAATTATGATAAAATAATAAACCATTGAAATCTATTTATGGGTTTTTCCATTTGAATGATTTCTATGATAATAAAATGTACAAGTATTATACATTTCCACTCTAAAAACCATGGAGAGCGCACTGCGACTGCTAGGCGTCCTAAGTGTTTTACTCACCTGGAGATCAAGCGTGAGTTCCAAGTACAATCAAATTCAACGAATCCCTCAATATCCTAGTTTTATTATTATCAGGACTCCACCAGCTATAAGTTGTCTAATGTTGTTTGTGGCAGCTACAACCAGTCGTGGGTCAGGATAAACGAGTGTCGCCTGAAGGCGATCAGTCGTAATAAAACCATTTTCAACTTTAATGCCACCTTTCTGCATCCCACCAACGACATTGTGATGCATAATCGAATGTTCAAAAGGGAAAGCGGATATAAGCCATGGCTCATCAACACCAAGGTCAATAGTTGCCAGTTCATGATAAGGCCCTATAATCCCTTTGTCTTATTCATTTTCAAATTGTACAAGGACTTCTCGAACATAAATCACACTTGTCCATATTACGTGAGTACTCAAAAGCATATTCTTTAAAAGGGTTAATTAATAGTAATTTTATATTTATTTAAAGGGGGATATGATTATTAAAGGAATGTACTTAACGCGTAATATAGAAGCCCTTCCGATTCCCACCGGCGACTACATGTTGGCCATAGATTGGCTCTTTTATCGAAAACCCCAATTTGCGACGAATGTTAGTTTTCAATTTGTGGAGAATTTGATATGAATAATTGTGAATAATAAACTTAAATGAATAAACTCCTTATTTTTAAATTGTTACTTTACTTAAATAAGTAAAAAATTGCCTATTAAAATCTAATAAGATCTTAAAGAAATTGTTTATTCATTTAAATAAAATATTTAAGTATTCAATTACCGATTCCTGACACAACTTAACGTCATGGTGCATTTGTTTAAATTTATAATATTAAAACACAAATATATCTGCAATATAAAATATCAATTAAAGTCACTGTCATACACCTTTTTTTTATTAATTGTGGGTTTTGACACTACATTGTTGTCATACCAAGAAAATATTAAACGAAAATGCATATTCACAAGAATTTCCTTGTCATAAATAATTATGTTCTAAAAGGGTTTAAAACAAAACAGTGTCAAATCAAACTTTGAATGCCTGTTTTATTTTTTACAATCCCAATTTTAGTTTTTATTTTGTTCTTGTTTTTTATGTTATCCATCAAATATAAATAGCGATTAAACAATAATTAAAACATCCATTGTGGCGAATCCAATTAAATATTATTTCCGTAAGCAGATTCCCATTATTTAAGGTATTTATATGAGTAGTTTGTGAAATAGAATTTATTTAAACTAAAACTAAAATGCGGCACACGCTAAAAGTGGTCAGTTTACTGACAATATTTCTCACCTGGAAATCCAGTGTAAGTTTATAGAATATGCAATATAATCTCCAACCCTATCCAGTATCAAATAAATTCTAGGATTCCGTAACCTATAAACTGACCAACTTCAGGTGCCAAACCTATGACAACTCTTTTGTTACAATAAATCAGTGTCGCTTGAAGGCGATCAGTCGGAATAAAACTATTCTGAACTTTAATGCAACCTTGGCCCGTCCGGCAACTGCCATTTTTTTTGGAATATCAAATGCTTAAGAGGGCAAATGGATATAAGCCCTGGCTTTTTAACATGAAAGTGGATGGCTGTCGGTTCTTAAGAAGACCATACGATCCCATTACCGTGTTAATATACAATGCCTATAGAAGATTTTCCAATGTTAACCACACTTGTCCATTTACAGTAAGTAATTTGAAGCGTAACTTTAAAATATGAAGTATTTTATAATTATTTTTTATTATTATTATTCCCTTTTTTAAAGGGCGACATTTTGATATTGGGAATGTATCTGACAACTCAGATAAAAACTCCACCCTATTCAACCGGTGACTACATGTTGTCTATGAACTGGATATTTAATCACAGGCCTCAGTTTATGACAAATATAAGTTTTCAATTTGTGGAGGATTTGTTATAATAACTAGAAATATATCTGGAATATATCTTAAATCTTTTTCAGAGGAATCGTTTGAAAAATTTGCTTTTATATCCTGTCATATAAAACATGTTAAATGTTCAAAAGCAATGTTGGATGTTGAAAAATTAAAAATCAAAATAAAATGATGATAAATAATAGCCAGGAATTAAATAAATAATATGTATTTATAATGAAATATTTGTAGAATGCAAAAAAGTCAATTAAAAAAGTATATATTTGTTTAAATATAATTATAAATGTTATATACATAATTTCAGTATTTTAGCGCTCAAACTAATATTAAAAGAAAAGATTTCATTCACAAAATATTTTAAGGATAATACATAATTTATCTGGACATCCTCCTAAAAATATGTATAGTTTTATCCTTGAAATGTTTCTTGAGGTTGCGGCATGTCTCGTGTGTGTGGCCCAAAATGCGTCCAATAACCCGTCATAAGCAGGCTTTTGGTAATAGACCTGTCGCTTCGCCGGCCAACTCCAAAAGCCATCCTCAACATATGTTAGACATTTATGTCTTGCTCTTCGACACCAGCCAATGGCACCGAGTTGATCGTCAAACCAACCCCAACAGTGAAAGAAAAATATAATAAAGTTTTATGAATATATAAAAAATATATATCTCTAAATTATTGAGTGAATTTTTAAATTCAATTGAAAAACAAAGTTGGTTTCCGGGATTTTCCACACGTGTTCTCTTAATAAAAGTTAACTTTTGCTCACAACTATTAAAAATCCATTACTACATACAGCTAAAGGTAATTGAAAACTGATTGAAGTTGAAATTAAATAGAGATGCAACTGATAATGTTTAACCTATTTGTAGGGAATATATGATTCTAGCACTCAGTAGTTTTTGAACAACCAAGAAACATGAAGGCAGGCTTCAAAATACTCGCTTTTCTCTGCCTTATTTACTCCTTGAACTGGAGGCCTATTGTAAGTTCAGTAAATACACAAAATTAACTTTATATATCAGGATTTTTTATTGCCAGGATTCGGTAATCTTTAAGCTAACAAATGCCATGTGCGGTAGTTACAACATATCCTGGATCAGGATCAATCTTTGCCGCCTGAAAGCGATCAGTCGCCACAAGGCTGTGTTCAATTTGAATGTCACCTTCCTGCAGCCGACCAAGGATATTGTGGTTCACTATAGGATGTTCAAACGGGAAAGTGGCTATAAGCCTTAGCTTGTCAATTTAAAGATTGATGGTTGCAGGTTCTTGCGAAAGCCATATGATGCCGTGGGAATAATGCTTTTCAATATCTACAAGGACTTTTCAAATATCAATCACACCTGTCCGTTTTATGTGAGTCTGAAATTTAAATTGCCAAGTTTATAGCTAACTTGGTTATCCTTTCAAAGGGACATGTGTTTATAAAGGATATGTACTTGTCGACCGATATCATGAGACTTCCTTTACCCACTGGAGACTATTTGCTGGCCATTGATTGGATTTTTTATGGAAAGCCACAGTTTGCCACAAATGTTAGTTTTCAATTTGTGGAGGACTTGGTATGATATTTTATTATAATATATTTATAAAATATAACATGATATATTAATATAATTTATGTTTATATATCTTCCCTTAAATTGTGTTGAATAAAGTAATATTGGTGTTTAAAGTTGTTTTAATAATAATTTAAGAGCAAAAAGTTTGTAAATATGATACGTTTGTTAGTTTCCGCTCCGTAAATTAGGTTTGATTTACACCTCAAGTATTTAATAAGCTTTACCAAAAATTTCTCAATTAATTTAAACTTAGAAATTACATATAAAGTGCCATTTATTCGCTCAGTGCTTGATGATGCGCCTGGCCCAAACCCTCTGAAAATCCCGACCGCAACTAGCTAACGTCGGCGTGTTGGCCCTTCGGCGACTATTATTACTACATTTACGACCCTGCCGTCTGTTGCTTCTTATTTTCCAGCTGCCGCCTCTCCTTACTCTGCCCGTCCTCCTTGTGCCATGGCCCCTCCAGCACAGTGTCCATAAAAATGGCATTGTAATGGGACTTTGGAGGCGTCACCATCGTTGCCACAGCAGAGTCACTGATTGACACTTTTTATGTTTCACCGGCTGCTGCTGCTGTTGCTGCTGCTGCCGGCAAAAGTTCAATGAGTTATGATTCAAGCCCGGAGCCTTTGTATTGGCCATTGTTCCATCTTTAGCCAGTCAATAGAGGGCTTAATGAGCTGGCCGCCTTTCAAAAGCGGAGAAAGGCGGCAGGAAATTCATTAGCAAGGCGGCTCCATTACCCATCTCGTTGTTGTACCTGTTGCATCCGATGATAAATCGAACCAAGTGCACAGGACCAAAAAATTGGGGAGTAAGACTGATGCTTTTATATAAATATATATTATATGTTTAGTAGGAATTATTATTTTGAACATTTTAGTACAAGTAGAAACACACTTAAGGATAATTGAATTTGAATTTATATAAGTTACTTGTTATTCCAGCTCATCAAGCTAATACTAGACATTTTCTATTAAAACCTTAATTTTTCATCAAATTTTTGTACAAATATTAATCCTTAAACACCTTAATAATTTTTCTCCGTGTGCCAAACGATCGATGCATCATCAATCGCCCGCAAATTTTGAATGAACTGAGTGAGGAGTCTCGTACTCTGGCATGTTTCGCAATCAGCATCACAGATGTATCTGTATCTGTATCTGTAGCTGTATCTGAATCTGAATCTGAATCTGAACCAATGCCCGACTAGACTCATTGTCTGGCCAGCATGTGAGGCGATGTGAGGCGATGCGAGTTGTGTGTGCCATCGCCATTGCCATTTGCGTTTGCCTTTGCCTTTGCCTCTGCATTTGCTGCCACCTCCGCCTTTTTTTTACCCCGTATAATATTTATTTTCTTCTTTACGCCGCGGCAGGCTGACGGGCGGTGTCTAAAAATATCAAGAGCACATCGCTACCACACATCGGTACATGTAAAGTAAGTGCAAGCTTGTCTGCGATGTCTTTTGTTGTCTCGCCACAGTCTGCTTATCACACGAACTGAAGAATCACAAGCAGAATCGGGAGCGGGAGCGGAATCAGGAGCAGAAGCGGCGGCAATCGGTGTCGCTCTGCCAGCGGCAACAATGAGTCAAGACAGATATTGCAGCTTCGCAGCAGCATCAGTAGCAGCAACAATAGCAAAAGTCCAATGACTAACACTCTAGCACCTTCGATGCGTGTTGTACCCTATATAAAGGCTGCGGAAATCAAGGTGCTTCTCTTAGTTTCCCACAAGTTGACCAAATTGATAAGCGCTGAAAAGGTATCATCGAAGCCGTTTTGGTAAAAGAATAAGCTGGTGAAGTGAGTGCTTAAAAATAACAATAAATATTTATTCAAGAATGAATTTTTATAAGGAAATTCATGAAGAAAATAGTAAATTATAAAAGCTTATAAAAACTATAGGTACAAAGAACGTCAATATAACTTAAGGATACATACAAAAACTTATGAGAATAAAGATTGATAAATAAAAAATTGGTTCATTTTAAATTAATAAATTATCAGTGAGGTAAAAATAAAAAAAGTTGTTGTTAATTACGAGAAGAAATATAAATTTTAAATAATTTAAAATTAATAATCTGCGAATAAAAAAATAATAATATATTAATTATAATATTATTATTAATTGTTAAATTAATATTATATAAAATATTTATAATTTATAATTATTAATTATTAAATGAATATCAATGATAAATAAGGCAAAAATAAGCTTAATATTATTCATAATAAAAGTATAGAAAAAATAACTGGAAGCTAAAATTGTATTTTCTGCTTACTCCATAAATAAATAATTTTCCACTTTATTTAGACGAATAATTAAATTATTTAAATAATGCAATTAAACTTTCAAAACTCTTTTAAATTAAATATCTTCTCTCCGCAATTTGGTAATATTTTCTACATTAATTTTCCACAATTCTTTGTTTAATTGAAATGTAATTAAATATTTCCAATGCCATATGCAACTTGGTTTAGCAATGAGAAACCCCACATAGCAATAGCCTCCCCGCCAAGGCAAAGTTTAATCGCTTTTGGGAGGGGGGATGAGGTAATGGTGTAAAGGCTGAGTCTAGTCTACGTATTACGTATACGACACGTGCAACGCTTTCACACCGACAATTAAAAATGCATGCATATGCATCTATTTTATTTATTTAATTGCCACAATTTATTTATAAATGCAGACAGACAGCTCACAGCCTTGGCACGATCACTTGATCGCCATCGATCGAACCAATCGATCGATCGATTCCCTTGGCCAGGTGGCTAAGAGAAGCCGCCAAAAAGAAATCAACAAAAAAAACAACCTGCAGACCCAGAATTCATCTTCTTCTCAATAGAAAGAAATAAAAAAAAACGTACGAAATACGTCAGCACATATTAGATTATCAACATAAACAAAATGTTCCGTCTCGACGAATGTGTACACAGTAATTTTTGTTGTATTTCCCCACAACTTTTTGGCAATATTCAGTGTACCAAAGCAATATAAAAAAAATATAGAAAAAAAATAGCAAGAAATGTTGGAGTAGGTAAGGAAGGTCGATACCCTGATACTCTGAAAGTTATGGCCAAAGTTCTGGGTCAATTTATGCAGGCAATAGTTGCAAAGTTTTTTAAAATCTCAGCAAAAATAAAACAAAGTACAATAGAAATAATTTTTAGCCAGGCTATAAGATATAGTTAAGCAGTCCTGTTAATATTTATCATGATCTTTACACATATATTTAAAATAAGAATTTTAAAAAGTTTAGGATCGATAGCTGTTAAGTTAAGCAACTAAACCCTTACTTAGCTAGATCGAATCGTCTGATAATGCCTTGCAAACTTCTGACTTTAGCCATGATACCCTTCTAGGGTATACAATTGCTATTTCTTTGTATACCCAAAAAAAAAAGGCAAACACAGACGACGAGAGACGCGAACAAGTGCCAGTTTTGGGTGAATTGCGGCTTTTTTTTTCGCCTTCGCTTGGGCGGGTTATAGGTGGTGCATGGGCGGCGGGCTGGCTGGCGCAGGAGGGGCTCTTGGTAACCGCAGGTAGGTCGCCAGACATCGGCATACGTGAGAGACCCGGCCAGACAATGTTAATTAGCACTTCATGATAAGTTGTCTCAATTGTTGCCGTCGTCGGCTGTCGGCTGTCTCCCGTCCGGATGTCGGATGGCAGCAAAGTGCGCAGCGGGGGTGCTGTAGTTACAGGGGCGCACGCGGATTAAACGGGGCGGAGAGGGGGGGGTCACAGCCGACACAACACATTCGATTAACAACAACCGGCTAGCCAGCCAGCCAGCAGCCAGCAACAAAATAACAAATCCGTAGACATGCTAATACATTTGAAGTTTCTATTTTAAAACAAAAGCACCAAGTGTCTGGCAAGGAAAATTGTGAAATATGCATAGTTATTCGACTTAGGAGATACCATGTAGTGGCTTTTTTACAAAATTGAAATTTTAATTTAGTTAATAATAAACATAAGTAGGAATAATATGTATCATTACTCGATTTTTCATATCATTTTCAACAAAAACTATATCTTACAATTAAAATTAATAATCAAGAAAGGTAATTATATCTAAAAATTGTTTAAATAAACTCAAAAAAAAAAAAAAAAAAAAAAAAAAACTGTTTATTAAAACTATTATTGATGCCCAATCATCGAGCATACCCGCAATCACTGGGTGCTGAGGGCCCACTAAAAAAACCTCTATTCGCGTATCATCAAAAGAATGCCACATGTGAATCATATCATTAAAAATAAAACCAAACAAAAAATTAAATAAAGTCAAAATAAAGCTGCATAAATAAATTTAATTAACGTGCGGTTGTTGGCACACTACTTCCCCCCTGCTTAAAACACCACCCCCTTCTACCCACAACCAGCTGTCTGACAATATAATTTCTTGGACTTTGGACGGCGGCTCAAGTCGGTAAACAGAAAAACCGCAAAAAGTCGAGTGACAATGAGCTAACCGAAATTAACAAATAAAAAAAAAAGAAATAGTACAAAACACCAGGCACAAAGAAAAAAATAAATATTTATTAGCTAGCATTAAAAAACAAATAAGAGCGCTGGCAAAGTGGAGTAGGAGAGAAAATGCGCAGAGATAGTAGTCACAAAAGGCTTAAAAAAATTATATATTGGGCAAAATAAGAAAAAAAAAAGGTTAAATGTAGTATCGAAATAATAAAAAAGTATAAGTATAATAGGATATTCTTATAGAAATTGTAATTATTTTTGCTTAAAATATATACCAAATTACTATGAAAAAAATGTTTAAAATTATTTAATTTAAAAAAAATTAATATTAAAGAAAATATTGAAGTTATAAAATTAAAACTAAGTAATTCAAACTGTCAAAAAATAATTAACACTGAAAGTAACTAAATTTGAGCTTTAATTTTTTGCTTATGATACACAACATTTTTCCGATTATTAAAATATATAAAAATTGACGAACTCAATCATTAAAAAAATGGAAAGAAAAAGTTAAAACTTTTAGGTAATTTTAGGTGCATGACGACAAAGTAATAAAGTTGCAATTTGCCAGTTGAGTTTTGCGCTCTTTCCCTGTTAACATTAACAGCTGCTCTCCCGCTCATGGCCCGTTTCTTTGCCACTATTCCTGCACTCTCTGCCTCTCTCTAGTCATTTGCGCGCTCTCTCTCTCTCTCTCTCTCCTTGCGTTTTAACAGCACAATTGGCTCTGTTAAAAAAGAGACATATTTGGCGACTCTCTCAACTTAAAAAATAAAAAAAAAAAAATTCTCCGACGCTGCGGACGTGTGTGTTTCGAGCCTCCTCGAAAAATAGCAATAAATACAACAAACAGTTTTTGGTGTGTGTGCCTTAGTTAATTCCAAACCAAATCAGTCAAATTAAACAAATAACACAGAAAAACAACAAAAACATTACGTTACGTCATGGGCGACGCCGCAGAATTGTTATTGTTGTGCTGGCATACTTCGAGAGCCAAGGAAGCGCGTGTGTGTGTAAGTGAGTGCGGGTACTTGAAAGTGTGTGTATGTGCACAACACAATTGTATTGTTTTGCGAAAGCCAGCCGTTTAATATAAAAAATTAAACAAAAACTAAAAAAAAAATATTAAATTAAAATAAAAACACTCGAAAGCTGTGCCCCGTTTCATGAGTTCCGCTCTCTCCTGCAATAACAGTGGAACACCAACCGTTCCCGCTGTTAGCGCACTGTTAGCAAAACTCAAATCCAACGTCCGCCAAATTCAAAAATTCAAATATTTTTCGATCGTCGAGCTGACGAGTTGCGTGCGTTCGTCGTTCGTTAATAAATAAATAAATAAATACCGTACTGGATTACCCTCAAGTCGAGAATAAAAAACAGAAACCTGCAACAAAATAAATGTGAAGCGCAAAGCAAATAGCAGTAAATAAATAGCCAGCGTTCCTGTTATATTCAAAAGCATTCCTAATCGCCGCAAAAATCCACAACAGCAACAACAACAACGGAAATAAACAACCAATAAATAACCAAAAAATAGAAAAACAAAAAAGATAAACAACAAAATACCAATGCAAAAAGTTAAGAAAAAATCATCCAAATAACAACAGCTTAAAAATTGCCACACTTCCAATTAAATAATTATAATATAATAATAAAAAAAAGCCATGTAAATAGTGTTGCTTAGATAAATTCTAAAAGAATTAAATAAAAGAAAGTGTCGCCTAACAAGTGCCGCAATAATATGCCGAAAGTTTAAACAAAAATTTAGGAAATTTATGCCAAAACGCACACAAAGCCCTTAAGATAGCGGAATTCCTAAATCAATTATAATTCTAATCTTAAAAAGGATATAGTTAAACCAAATTCAAAGTAAACAAATCAAAAATAAGCCGTAATAAACATCAAAAAGGTGAGCTAAGAAGCAAGTGAAAATCAATTAAAATAATTGAAAATAAATTAAAAATATTAAGAAATCTAGTCGAATCTCTTGTGGGCGCTATCTAATTATGTGCTATTCATGTTCCTCTGAAATATGCTCTCTATAAATCGTATTCCGGCGACTTCCTGTCCAACACACAGGCACACTCAGCGCCGTACAAAAAACAATAAAAATTCGCCCAAAAAAAAAGAAACAGACAGTCCAGTCAGAAATGTCCACTGTCCACAGAAATGCAATAAATTTGGAAATCAGCTCTGGTATTTTTTACTAGTCCACACCAGACGATATTCCCACAGCCCCCTCCTCACCATATATTCATATCTATTCTATACAGAAATATGGAAAAAAAATATGAATAAAACCATTGAAACAAAAATAAAACATTTGTTTTAAAGCATTTTTGAATGCTTTTAAAATCCTTTAATATTTTTTGTGGCTGTCATAAACAATCTTGTAATAAATTAGCCGCGGGAGGTGGAGAATGCGAAAAAAAATAACGAAGAAATGTCTAATAAATATGTACTACTTTATTTTGTAGTTTTTGGGGTGTGTCTTTGGAGGACTTTGGGGGCTTTGGAAAACGACAAAAATTTTAATTAGAAAATGGAAATGATGAAATTTTTAGATAGGTATTATGAAAGGAGATTAATATTTTAAATTATGAAATTATTTTGATATTTTTCATATATTTTAAATTAAAATTAGTATTAAAGTTATATTCCTTAAAATTTTTTCGTTTATCTGCATTAAATTTGATTTTAAACAATGATATTTATGTTTTACAATATTTAAATGTTACGTTTCGCAGACTTGAGCTAGTTTTGATTATCAAAGGCAGACTTTCCGCTTTGTTTATAAACAGTTTATTATTACATAAGCTTCGTAAATAGACACATTTTTCTGATAAAAGTAACAACTCCAACCTTAATTAGAAAGACCCCAGTGAATTCGTGATTTTCTCACCTGAACCTCAAATGGCTTGGAAGATTGCCTTTGATAAAATCGCTTAAAGTCGGGTTTTGGGTCTGAGAAACGGAGAACAAAAAAGCTAAGAACTTCCCAGAAGAGCTTTATCTCTTCTGCTCTATCGGAGCCACAGGGTTTTTTAGTCTCGCTTTGGCCTACGAAAACAAAGGCCGTAGTAGAGTTTTTGATAGAATAGAGGAACCACTGAACAAAACCAAGTCAAAGTCGCGTGTGGCAGCTCTCCCTGTCTCTTTTCATCTATCTAGCTGGCAACTCCCTCTCTCTCTCTCTCTCTCTCCCTGTAGCACAGCAGTAGGCAAATCACTTCCGTTCAATGAACCCCATGCGTAAGCCAGCTCTTCATCAGCTTTTTGCCGCTTGTGCCTATGCTGCTCTTGCTCTTGCTCTTGCCTCGTTCCTTTTTCCTTTTACTTTGCCATTGCTGCTATGTTTTTGCTATTGCTATAGCTATTGCCTCTTGGCTATGCCGCACATACACAGGCACACACACACACCCAGAGACACACATGTGGCTCAGTCTCAGCTTTTTCCTCTTTACTTGTTTTAAGCACAGAGCTGGTTAAAGTAATAGAAACGAATTTAAAATATAAATATGGTAAAGTATTGTTTATTTTTTAATCTGAATTAAATCTAGATACAAAAATGTAGTATAAAAAATCGTAAAATTCTGTTTACTTAATAAACAAATAACAAGGAAATACGCCTTCTTAAAGTATTTACTTCACATAGGGTTTCAATTTAGAAGTGAATCATGATGATATGAAAAAATATATAAAATATTGTCAAGAGATTAGAATTTGATCATAATATGGGTTTTTTGTATGGTCTTTATATAAAATATTTTATAATAAATAAAGTGCTTCTACTATTTCCCCCACAACTGTCGGAATTCCCACACTCGCGCACATAAAAGTAGAAGAGTTCTCGTTGTTTTGTCGTCTTTGGTTTACCTTTACGTATACACCTGGCCTCCCACCTTGGTTTCCCCATTCCAACACTCCCCTCTCTCTCTCTGCACACCTTGCCTTCTTTTGAGCATAAGAATGTTACGCATACGCCTCGTATGCTGCCACGGAAAATTTGACTCACTTTTTCGCCCACTTTTGCTTGGCCTGCCTGCACATTCCGTAGCATCTTTACGACTAGCCATTAAAATGGTTATTATTTTTTGTTAAGTCCAACGATCCAACCAAACAACAAACATACTTTTTTTTTTGTACATAAAATAATATGCAATTTTTTAATTAAAAGTTCATGAGAAAATCACGAAGCCGCGGCAACAGCAGCTCGATTGACCAGTAAATTAATCGAACGCTAATTAAGCAGCTGACGACACACACTCACACATATGTAGGGCCCAAATCAAGGTCTTTTGTTTTTGCCATATATGTGTATATATTTGTATATATCGCTCATACGCCCCATGGCCGCTTATCAAGCGTCTGGTCTGGTCTGGTTCTTCTACTCGCTTCTGCTTCCACTTCTGCGTCGCTTCTTTGGCTTCTGGAAGCGGCGGCGGCGGCGGTGGCGGCAAAGAGAGAAAGGTGAGGAGGTAAGGCGACAGCCGGTCTTATCAGTGGAACCTTTTTGTATGAAAGACCCCAACACACCAAAAGCGGGCGGGCTCACAATACAGACAGAGATACCCATGGTACCCATGGACTTGAGCACCTGTCCGGGCATCGACGTCAACAACACTTCCCGCGCCACCCACATGACCGCCACCACTAAAGGCACTAGCGCAGCAGCAGCAGAGCACTGGAAAAAAATGTCTAAGAGTAGTTTTAATAGAAAAACTATGAATAATTTGATTTTTGATGGAATTTTTAATAAATTACTAGAAGAGTTTTATATTACTAGAAGAATTATTAGAAGAATTATTTAATACAAAGGTTCAATTTTCCCCCTTTTTAACCAAGAAAACTAATTAGACTTGAAGAAACTTAAAGATATTCTTTAATAATACTTAAATTTAAATCGCTCTTTATTCAACAAAATATAATTATTGGCATAAGTTTCTTCATATTTCTTAATTAATACCTTTAATTTATTAATTTCCCTTTGTAAATATTTTAAATTTGATTGTTTCTAGTATGTTTTCCTACAAGATATAATTTTTTTTGAGTGCACAACCTCACACAGCAACACCAGTAACACCACCACAGCACACTATACACAGCAACCGAGCATGAGATTAGAGAGCGGACAGCAACTGACGAACGCCGAGCGACAACATTCCCCAAGGTCATTATTAGTGCTGCACTGGAGCACTGAAAAGGGGGAGGCGATGGTTGGGTGTTAAAGGGGGGCGGGAATCACCCCCACTGCAGCTGCGAGGCGACTGATTGAGGGATCCAAGTTCCTTCGATAAGAAATCGCTAGAAAGATGATGATCCGCCAGATAATCACGTGTAGACTAGACCGGTCACTGACTGACCCCCAAAAAATAATTGAAATAAACCAAGGATTATATTGTTTTTAAATTTTTTTAACAATAAACATAAACTGTCTGGAGGAAAGTAGTTTTATAGCAAACTATAAAAAAAGTAAATTGTTTGTTTAATTGTTTAATAATTTGTTAAGGTCGTTAAGTACTATTTGAAATGTTTCAGGATTATTAAGTGATGGGGTTTACACAATACCGGACTTAAGAAAGTTTTTTTTAAAGCTTTATACAATTTTTTAATAATTTAAAAACCCATATATAATATATGATCTAATATCTATATTCTTTGAACTGTGAGACTATTTAAACTTGTAAGTTATGGGAAATCCCATCTTTCATAATCTTCTTACAAGTCTTAAACCCATATTACGACCAAGAATTCCAGAGAATGTTGATTCTTTGAATCCATAGTTCTTTGAAGACGCCTTTACTCATCATCATCATCATCTGCCAGACGAGATAGTCGTGTAGACAGTGAGGATTACGTGTGTCTGCTATTAATTCCATTTAATTTTAAATATTATTGTTATACTTTAATGGGAAGTTGGGCATACCCAGCAGCGATATAGATTCCCCCATATTTTTTTCATTGTATACCCCGCAAGCCTAGCGAATCATTAGAGTTCATAATCAAGCTTACACACACAGCGACTGAAAGCAAACACACATAGTCGCATATAGTCATCAGTTCATTCCAATCGGAATCGGTCGGTTGTCTGGGTCGAAGTCTGAAATTTGTTGTTTTATTTTGTTTCGTTTTTACTGTTTCTCCCGATTGTTGTTACTACTTTTTTGTTTCTTCGCTCCGTTTGGTTTGGTTTTTTATTTTTTTCTCGCCATTTGTCGTCGTCGTCTTTTTCCATTGTTTTCGTTGGCGACTTTCCTACAGACATCTGTATTATATGCGAAGTTTTGTATATTTTTGATCTGAGTTTCTTTGCTCCGCTGCCTGGCGTTATCTTCTGGCTCTCTGGCTAGCTTTTTTGATATCCGCCAGACGCGCGAGACTTTTGCCACTGCATATATTTTCTCCCCCCATCGCAATGGGATTGGGTTGTGTGTGTCTCTAATGATGCTAATTTCTGTTAGTTTTTTATACAAAAATATAAACGAAATATCTGGAATTTTGAGGGGCTTTCTTTTGTCTAAAGTCTACACACAATCCCACCTCATCTTATCAGCTTCACGGGGCTTTGTCCATTCAAAAATTAAATACAACAAAAAAAGAAAACTGATTTACAAAATGAAAAAATATTATATTTCCGAACCGGACAGACGGGCAGCGAAATCGCTAATCGATTGACATGCGGTCTTTGCCTGATTGTTTGGGGGGACGTCTCAAGAGTCCAGCTGAAAAGTTCAGATTGAGACTTGAGACTCGAGAGATAGAGAGGGAAACGGGAGACAAGCCAGATTAGTCAGCAGCAGATTAGGCAAAAAAAAAAAGGGCTCTTTAAAAAAGTGAAATTAAAATTAAGCGGCTTTGAGAAATATGGGTAAACCGGGAGAGTAACAAAACTGGGTCGCTCCAATGATT